CTGGGATTTTATAATATTATTGTAATATGTATGCTGTGTCCAAACCATGTCTATATCAAAAGCAACATGAATCTATGTTCAACATTTTTCATTTCAATTTAACTTTTATTGTCACACGACGCATAACAAAGACATTCTTCTGAATGATTCATCACTGAAACCTAACGTGCTTGGAAATTTACATGTTTTATGCTTGATTAGAATTGTCACTTTTGATTGCCATTTTATCTCCTGCTATTTAAATTAAATGTTTCTTCACTAAATATTTTTATGGCTCCTATTATATTAATTGTGAGAAAGGGCACAGAAAAAGGTTATAAAATCTATTATCTATATAAATATGCATGGCACCAGACATATTCATTTCAGTAGGGAACTTAAATGGAATGTTTTCTGAATACTAAATAGACTTTCACCTAGAAATAAATGCAATACAACTCAATTATTGTAAATCATTATTGAAAAAGGGGGAGAAAAAAAGCATGGTAGAATTAAAAAAAAAAAAAAAAAAAATACTAGTTAAATTCTAGCCTTGCTCCTTAATTGACTTTGTAACCCTGAGCAATTTTCTAAACCATAAGCTGGGGATAACATTTGTTATAAATGTTAAACTTAAGAAGACTGCATTGGGACCAACAGGTGGTATAATGGTTACCCTGCTAGACTCCCACATGGTCGACTGCAGTTTGAGTCCTGGACCCAGTGGCATGAAACTCACGCTGGGTGCATGTGCATGCATGCCCAAAATCCCAAGAGGAGAGCGGAGGAGAAGGGATTGTGATGTGGCCATCCTCCCTGGGGGGTGATTTCTCACTTTCCATCTCTCTGTCTCTCTGGTGAGCACAACTGCCCTATAACAAAAACAAAACAAAATGAAACAACTCTTAAAAAATTCTCTCTAAAAAATACTGCATTATAGGTAAGGGTTTTATTAAAAACAAACAAACAAACAAAAACTACGATGATACCAGTGGGACAAGATGTGCAGATCATTTAAAACGGAAATTTAGTAAAAATATCTTGTTTTGTTTTTTGTTTTTGTTTTGGCTGCACTATGCATGCACTCACCAGAATGAGACAGAGAAACAGAGACAGAGACAGAGGAAGAGGTAAAATGAGAAAATTAATCCCCGCAGGGGATGGTCCATGCTGCAATCCCTTCTCCTTCATTCTCCTCTCAGGGTTTTGGGCATGCCTGCACATATGGTGTGATTCTTAAGCTGTAGGGTCTGCGATTCCAACTGTACACTCGGCTGGGTGAAATCTATCGTCCTAACCTCTCCACTCCCTGCTGGCCCCAACACCTTGTTAGTTTGAGCAAGAAAATGTACAGACTTTTTTTTTTTTTTTGGAGAGATTTTCACTGTAGGGCGCGTGCGCTCGCCAGACAGACAGAGAGAGACATAGAGACAGAAAGCAAGAAATCACCCCCCAGGGGGGATGGTCACGCCGCAATCCCTTCTCCTCCATTCTCCTCTCGGGATCTTGGGCACGCACGCACATGCGCCCGGCGTGAGTTTTAAGCCACCGGGTCCGGGACATGAACCGTGGTCGACTACGTGGGAGTCCAGCAACATAGCCATTACGCTAACTGCTGGTTCCCAAAATGTACAGACTTTTGAAAACTAATTTATTACTATCTCTTTAAGCCAAGAAATTGTACTGTTTGAGGTTTCATATAATTAGTACTTGAAGCATTAAAATCTTTTTCAGAAACAGGTCTATGGCCTTGGGTGGGCAGACAGAATAAAATGTAAACCTTCCCTGGGGCCAGCAGCGGGCGTGCCATGGTGACATGACACTTCGTGGACCCACATGGGAAGGTTCCAGGTTTGAGTCCCAGAAGCATGGCCATGCCACAATCCCTTCTCTTCCCTTCTTCGCTCTGGATCTGGGGCATGCACACACTTGCGGCCGGTGTTGAGCTACATGTCACTGGGTCTGGACTCGAACCGTGTTCGACTATGTGGGAGTCCAGTGATGTAACCATTACGCCATCTGCTGGTCCCGCAAATCATGGTTTTACACAAAATTATGGGGTACATGGAATTTCCTTCACAATAGCCCCTCGCCTTGAGGTCTCCCTCTTGCTGGGAAGAAGAGGCAGGCATTATTTCTGTACTGAGCCTCTCCCCTCATGCTTAGGGCACTTTCCCGGCTGCTGTGAAGAGTTCCCCCTTGGTGCCACCTCCACCCTCTCAGAGAGGCCACTCCAGGCTTCGTTTCCAGGGCCTGGCGGTCTCACGGGGGCTCAGCTGCCTCTACTTTGTTCAAACTCAGAGTTCAGAAATACCAGGTAGGGCAGGCCCTCCCAGGATGCTCTGATCATGAGGGAATTAAAGAGTGTGGCTAATGTTATCTTGGTCTAAATAATGTGTTTCCAGGATCCCCCAAATTATGCTTTTCTTGAGGCTGGTACGGAGGGAAATCCGCATGAATGGAAGTACTGTGGGGCTGGGGGTGGTACAGTGGTCATACAATCAGACCCACGTGGAAAGACCCTGTGAGTTAGCATCCGGGACCCTCCTGAGCATGTCTGGGGCATGTGCATACACCCAATTCAGGTTGGCTGAGATTGGGGCTGGAAGGTGGGGCACACCCAAGAGCAAGCGGGTCTCTTTCACACCCACAGAGCCTTACACAGAACCCTGTACATGCAAGGCTCTGGATACACGTGTCCACACAGCTAGGGAGCCAGTATATTTAAGTAAATGCCTCGTGACGTTCACAGTATAAAGTATAAACTCCGTAGAGAAAAATACACCATTCTTGCTGTATAAAGAACAAATCTCTCCATTTTCTCTTTCTTTTTTTTGGATAATGACACAGGCTGTCATTAAAGAGCTCAGCCTCGGGGGCTCAGCCCACGGCCTACTGGCCTGCAGTGCTGGAAGCCACAGGGACGGGGATTCAGATCACTGGACTGGCCTGAAAATGTACTGGTGCCTAAAATACTGAGAAGTCAGAGGGCTGGACAATGGTGAATCATGGTGACTGGGGTCACCAGCCAAGGGCGACTCTGTCTCATGTGCACAGAACACAAGTGCTATCATTAAAAACAAACAACAACAACAACAAAACTGAGCTATTAATTCAACCTATCAGGTCATTGGAAAGGTCATGATGTAACTTTTTATGTTTTTCTATGCAACAATGTGTCATGACGTTTCCTGACCACCTAATAAATAGGCAATTCTCCAAAGCCATGGAAGTCACTTGAAACTCTTAAGGAGATTTAACATCTTGTGTTTAAAATTTATAGGTGGTTTTGAAACAAAATTAGGGGCCAGCAGGTGGTATAGTGGTTAAGGCTGGACGCCCACATGGTCAGCCACCTTCTGAGTTCAGGACCAGGCAGTTTGAAACTTGTGTGCGTGCGTACCCAAGATCCCAAGAGGAAAATGGAGGAGAAGGGATTGTGGCATGGCCATCAACCCTGGGGGGGTGATCTCTCCCTTTCTGTCTCTCTCTGTCTTAATCTCTGACTCCAGCAACTGTCAGTAGCCTATAGCAAAAGTCCCTTCCCCCCCAAAAAAAGAAATTAACTGATGAGAAAAGTGTCATTTCACATTGTTTCTATGAAAGGAAAATCATAGCTACATTATGAAAAATATAAATAAAATCTCTACATTACATATCAATAACAGTATAAAAGAAATAATAATCATTGTGGCCTAAAGTTTTAAGAATAAAAATAAATTACTCAGGGTAGGGACAGAGTAGTAAAACACAACTTTCAGGGCCAGCAGGTGACATGGTGGTTAAGGCACTAGAATTCCCACATGGCCAACTGTGGTTTAAATCCTGGTGGCTTGCTTTCTCTCCCTTTCTCTGGCAAAAACTCATGTGAAAAATAAATAAATAAATAAATAATGAAATAATTCTTAAAAACAAAAACAAAACACAACTCTCTTGAGGCTAACCACATGGTAGGTTCTGGGCTAATGTTCGGAGACTTCCCCGAGTACACCAGGCACAAACCTTCTTATAATCCAGGGCTGGCTGGGGATGGACTGTGGTTCCAGGACTGTTTCGGGTGCTGTCTCTGCTTTTGTCTTTCTCTTGTGTCTCTCACTCACTAAAGACATAATTACAAAAACAAAAAACAAAAATCAAAACACAAAGTTACTTAAATGCCCTTGATTTATGTTAACTCATAGCAGTTCAAATCCTGGACCCAGAAGCTTAAAAACTATGCAGGGCATGTGTGTATACATGCCTAAAATCCCAAATTAAGAATAGAGGGGAAGTCTCCCCCAACCCACAGAGGTTCTCACTTTCCCTCTCTCTGGTGAGTACATGCACTGTATAGGAAAACTGAAAAAAAAAAAAAAAAAAAAAAGAGTACATTGTCTTAATGATATGCTAAATATTCAAATTTCAGCATCGAAACATTTTTCTTGAAAACTGAGTATCTGTAATCTTTAGGAAACAATGCTGATCACTGGCACCATAACTATGCCCTTCCCCCATTTTTCTGAAAGTCAGGACAGGAAGGAATCCTTCCTAAAGAGTCACTAAGTCATTAAGAAGTCTGCATTTGCTTTTTTCTTTTTTTTGGAGAGGTTTTCGCTATAGGACATGAGCACTCGTCAGAGAGAGAGAGAGAGACAGAAAGCAAGAAATCACCTCCCAGGGGGGATGGCCACGTCGCAATCCCTTCTCCTCCATTCTCCTCTGGAGATCTTGCGTATGCACGCACACGCGCCCAGCATGAGTTTAAGCCACCGGGTCTGGGACTCAAACCGTGGTCGACTATATGGGAGTTCAGCAACAGCCATTATGCCAACTGCTGTTCCCAAAACAATTCTTTAAAAAAATAGGTTTCTTAGTTGTATATATATTTCAGTTATAGTTGCACATGTCAGAAGGACCACCAAGGCCCGTTTCCGAAACTGGGGACGGTGGAGGAACAGAGACAGAACAGAACCTATGGCCACTTTCCAAATGCAGATTACTGGTCACCAGGCAATATAAAAAAGGCACAGCCGAAGCAGCAGTAAAGTCAGTAAACAATATTTTACTGAAACATTTCATAACACAGAAAATCTGTCTGAAGTGTAAAGTTACCTTCTTACACAAGAAGAGGGACAGACCCATTTTCAAAGACTAATATGAATACAATAAATATGGAGTTTACATACTAGTTTATGCACAGAAACTCTGCCCCACAGCCATAAAAATTCATATTTAACAGTGCAACATATAATTTAATCATCTGATTTGACAGGTTTTTCTTACTAAACACAAATAACTACCTGGTTTTCATAGACATATATAATATATTTTTTATGTATATAGATATTCAACAATCTGTACAGTTTCTAAACATAAAACTCCTAAAAGGCACAATTGTCTATACAACATGTACAAAAATGGCTGGAGCTGACACGCAACAACAATTATTGGTCAAAAGTTCATGATTGCACAAAGATTAGTCATGAGTTTATGTCAGAAAGATGTGCTTTAAGGAAAGGAGGGTTTTCAAAGAAACCTGTAAGTGTTATTTTTTAAAAAAATAAAAATAAAAAATAAAAATAAAATAAAAAAGAATCCACTAGGTTGCTATCACCAGCCTGTCCTCGTCGTCGTCGCTGCTCACGTCGCTGAACTGCACAGCGGGCTGCCTCCGGGCCAGGGCCAGGGCCAGGGCGGCGGGCCTGGGCGCAGGCCGGGCTGGAGGGAGAGTCTGTCGGCCCGGTGCACGCACCGTCAGCTGCGGTTCCGACGTGGACGCCGGAGGGCCCTGCAGGGAAGCGAGTTCGGCCTTGAGAGGCACGTGATTTGCGGAGGCAGCCCTCTGGGCGTCCACTGCCCTGGCGCCTTCGAGCTGTGCGCGGTCACCTGCAGGTGCAGGTAGGTGGGGAGCTTTGTTTGCATTTTCCCGCGGGACTGCAGGTGACCCCTGAGGAGACTCGGTCCTGCTGACCTGGGTGGCGCTGGCTGCGGACGTCTGCTTGGGCTGCAGCTCGCACGCGGCGCTCTGAGAAGCCGGGGTTTCCGGGGGCCCCTGTGCATCCACGGTCACCGCGCCCACCGAGGGGATTAAAGTCGGCAGCGCTATGTTCAGGATCTGCAGCCCCGGGATGGGGCCCTGCGGCCCGGGGCTGCTCTGTGCAGGAGGGCTGGCCGCCAAAACCTGCAGCCCCACCGCGCCCAGGGCCAGGCCGGGGGCGTGCACGCGCGGCGCGACTGCGGCATTGGCCAGCCCCACGATGTTGACAGCGTCCACGCTCAGCGACTGCAGCGCCGGCACCGCCGGCGGGCCCAGGTTCTGGAGGCCGGGCACGCGGATTTGGCCGATGGGGATGCACGGCACCACCCCGCTCAGCTCTGCTACTCGGGCGGGACTGGCGGTGCCCGCAGCTTCCGTGACCGCGTCCCCCGGAGCGCCCGGGGTTCTGTGAAGGACACTGACGGCGGGAATCGTAAGCTGCATGGGCTCGGCCTGAATGGGGACGAAGGTGGAGTAGGTGAGGCCGGCGGGCACCACCTGGATGCCCCCGACCGGAACCATGTTGTAGGGTGTCCTGTTCTGCTGTTGCGAGTGCAGGGGGAGGTGACTGAACAGGTGGGTCTGGGCTGGAGGCAGGCCTGGGGGCGGCTGGCGCGGGATCTGCTGCTTCTGTTCCTGGGGGTCAGGACGAGGGGAGGCCGCAGGAGGGATTCTGGTTGCTGTCTGCGGGCTGTGATCGGCTGCGACCGGGGGCAGCCTTGGGCACGACGCGTTCTGAAAGACAGCAGAGGACAATCCTTTCATGCAGCGCTTTCTTAATCACAGAGCTAAGCTCACATACTTGCTAAAAACTTTATCTTGATCTTTAAAAATACATTCAAGGGGCCAACAGGTTGGTGTAGTGGTTAAAGCACTAAACTCCAACAAGGCTGACCACAGTTGGAGTCCTGGACCCAGTGGCTTAAAAATCACACCAGGTGTGTGTGTGTGTGTGTGTGTGTGTGTGTGTGTGTGTGTGTGTGTGTGTGTGTGTGTGTGTGTGTGTGTGTGTGTGTGTGTGTGTGTGTGTGCCCAAAATCCTGGGAGGAGAAGGGACTGCAGTGTGGCCACCCTGCAGGGTGAGTTCTCACTTTTCCTCTTTCTGTCTCTTTCTCCAGTAAGTGCATGTGCTGTATAGAAAAAAAAAAATCTAACTAAAAATATATTTTAAATTATTTCGGAATGTAAATCACAGCAACATATTTTATATAGTGCTTTATTTTACAAATAAATTTCCTGGCTGTCATAACATTATATATGAAGACTAATTCTAAGATGTGGCCGGCCATGGTTAAATCCTTATGGTGGTGGCAGTATTATTTTTCCTGGCACCATCAGCTCCACTATATTTTAGAGGTTAGGCGTCAACAGCCTGAGCGTCTCTTATACAAAGCTTGCAAGCACAAGTGTTTCAGCTTTGGATTTCTCTGGGATTTTGGAATACAGGCATGTGCAGGAGGCATCTGGGGACAGGACCCAAGTCTAACCTGGAACGTGTCTATGTTTATATCCACTCTATGCACTTACCCTGAGGTAACTTTCTACCGTATCTCTGTATGGCAGCGTTCTGACCACGGCTTGTCACGTGAGGTCAGGTGTAAAAAGTCCATCTGCGGTGCCGTGGCGGCAAGCAAAAAGTTCTGGATTCTGAGGCATTAGGAATTTCCAGTTTTTTGATGGGCGATGGTCAACTTGTGTTAACAAGGTGAATATTAACTTAAGAGTGGAAAAAAACTAACCAGAGGATTACTTGCTTATGAAGTAAAGAGCTGTCATTAAGAAATAAACTCTGTGCTTTTCGTTTGTTCATTGGGTTTATACAATGTCTCCTGCAAACCAGAGTTCCTGGTGCTGGAAGATGGCAAGAGATTTGGGCTAGAAAAGCTGAAAACATGGGCGACCCACATTAAAGTAACAAGATATTATCGGGAGAAATAAAGCTTGCTCACTCTCCCTTCTACCCAAGATTATTATCTAAATTCTTGATTATATCTACGTTATGAAAATACATTAATTTCTATATGAATTTAACTTACATCTTAATAAAATTTAACCATTAATATAATTTAATTAAATGGTATCAATTTAGGCTAGATAGTCTATAGATAGGCTTTTGTTGTCTCTTTATTTTTCCAGTATTAGTTAGCCAACCAAACGCTGCCACATACTGGAGGCCCAAAGGCTATCGGTTACAGAAGACTGTATTATCCAGAAGTCATCACTCGTTATGACACAGCCAGGGGACAGCAGGGACTCATGCAGAGAGGGTTTCCTGTGCCCCTCTGGGGGGCCTGTGTCTGGGCCTGAGCCGGTTCTCGGACAGAAAGCTTTCCCAAGCTGCTACCGCAATCTGATGATTCAATCGAAGTGAACTTCATGACACATTATTTGGGTCACATTAACTTTGTCATGGAAACTGGGAGCTGTCTGCCAATGAGGGCAAAGTGTGAATGTTTGGATGACTTAATACGAACCCATCCAGTCGACACCAGTGCGAACACAACCCGGGGTAACTACGTCCCAGGATACATGTGTCCAGTTGGCATATGCACTTTTTTTTTTTTTTAAAAAAAGCAAATAATAATAAATGGGAATATATCTTAAAAACTATTCGATTCTTTCACGGAATTAAAACATACAGGCGCTGATTAAACTCCTTAGTAAAATTCCAAAGGACGTGTCTTCTACTCTTAAACACAACAGAAAAATGAAGTCATACAAACTGATTTGGCCACAAATAAATGACGTAGGCACACCGTTTTCTTCAGCCACTCGATTCTCCGTACCTAACCGGTTACAAAAGGGAAAGGAACACCAACGTACCTGTGTTACAGTGATAGCCTTTCCTGCTACAGAACTCCTCAGAATTTCTTCTGATTCAGGGAAGTCCACAGACATCTGGTGACACAAGGACCTCGGAGCGGCATCAGGTGACCTGGAGGAGTCGCTGGGAGGGACTACCTCGTCTCCATCTCTGGCAGGCCTCACTGGAGAGTCTGCCATGTTCTTGTGGTCACACTGCACTGCGCTCAGGACGGTCATCTTGGTGAGCAGCGCTCTGGGCAGAACATCCATCGGGTCCGTGTGAGCCCCAGAGAAGCAGTCAGCAGCCCGGACGTCCTCATCGGCACTCACGGGCTCCTGCGGGCCACCTCGCGACGGGAGGTGCTGTGGGCTGGCCGTGACCGAGGGCGCGGCTGACAGCACTGACTCGGCCTGGCTGTCTTCATCATCCTCCTCGTTGTCATTGTCATCCTCATCTGGGCCATCAGATTCTTCGAGATCGAATCCAGACCGCTCATAACTGAATCTCTGTTTGTCATCTAGTGGAACAATCAGAGGGCACATTATAGAATGTTTTGCAGGTGGACAGATGCAATCTCTTATTTGCAAGCTTTGCCACCCTTTGTGTGATACACAAGATGAGGTCCTGCCCTCCAGAAGCCAGTGCTCTATCTGAGGAGAATGATACGGCGAACGGTCAGTCCCCAGGAACTCGGAGGAGCCAGGCACTGGGAGAGAGCAGCATGGCTGAGGCAGGCTGTGCTAAGGACAAGGAACGTGAAATGAGGCTGGGAAGAGGAATGAGGCGGAGGGGAACTTACAAAGAAAATCGGAAATGATTCTTGAAAAACTCCTAGAGAATCCTAACTATGTAAAAATAAAGAGGTCAACGTAACTCTTTTTCTGAGCTTTTTTTCTCTACTTCTTTGTGTTCTTTCATTGAAGAAATCAGAACGCGCTGGCATTTACTATCTGTAAGCAAAATGATTTTCTTTGATACTTGAACAGTATTGCAGCTATGTTTCGATTGTCCGCTTAGTAATATTTATCGATATTTAAGCCTTCCTCCTTTTTTAATTTGCTGAGAGGCGCTGAACCTTCCTATCAGTTTTTCCAAGACATGACTCAGCCCTTTCTTTCTAGGAAGGAAGACATTACCTAAAAGTCATTAATATCAGCTAGCAGGAGTATTCGAGGTGGTCCAGGGGATAGTTTCAAAATGCTCAGAAGTTCATGTGGGACTTGGTTTAAAATCTTTACCTGCTTTCAAGATCTTGCAAATTAGAGGCTCTTTTTCTAAAAAAGCTAATACACTTTAAAAAGTTAAGGGTTGGGAAAATGTAAAATATCTACCCCATTTTCTTGTCACTGAGATAAAATAAAGACCTCAGACCACAGGTTAGCTGCGATACGTTCTGCCTTTACGTATATATTTTGAAGGGAGAAAAACTACACAGAGGAACATAAGCATTATGTATTTCTCCTGGCTTTCCCACTTGGTCTATTAATTTATTTTACTATCTCTGTTTCTGTATGACACAAGTGAGTTCTTAGGGAGAAGTTTCAGAGGTTCTACATAAAGCATTTGAGGCTGATTATTGCTAGGGACAGAAAGGACCAGTACTTTTGTTATTTACCATAAACATGTGCTGCTTTTATGATTAAAACACTCAAAGATACAACATATGCATTTAAGTTCCTTTAAGAGATTTTCTAAGTCTTTTACTTGCAGGGTCCTGCTATTATGTTGTAAATTAGGTAAACAAATAAAATAATACCAGTTGACTTGGCTCTACCACCCCCCTCTCCACTAGGGGAACAAAGGCCTTCTTCTGTGAAGGGCAGAGCAAAAAGCAGAGCTGGCCTCAGGACACTGGTGAAAACTCACTGTGGTGGGGAAAGGGAACAGGAAAAAGTGCACAACTTGACTCCGTGCAGAGGGCAGGATGCAGCAGAGCCCACCACAAAGCTGGAAGAAGGGCAGGAGCACTGAGAAGGCCACAGCCCAGAAACCCAAGGGGACGGTACACATGCAAGACTGAGGCTCAGCAGGGACACGGATGCACCTCATCTTCCTCCTCACCCCCCACTGCCAAGCCAAGGAGCTGAGAAAGATAGGTAAGGGCAAAATGGCACTGGGAGAAGGGCAGCAGAACAAGAGGGTGCGGACACGCTCTCTGAAGCTCAGTGCAGAAGGCAGGCCTGAAGCTAGTACTGAACAGAGGTCGCTACTGGAATCCAACTGCCAACCCAAACACAAGGCACCGCTATAGGAATAAGGAAGCCTCTGGTGTAGTGAGGACAGCTACAATCACCACAAACCTCTCAGACCTAGCACACTACCTACCTAGGCAAACTAGCCCTAATCAAAAGCCTAGCAAAAGGAGAGGTGTGCCCCTCTGTCAGCATAAAACTGACGTGCATGAGTATCTATCATCTTATGTAAGATGCCTAGCCTTCAACATAAAATGACAAGACATATAGAAAGGCAAGAAAAATATTAATACACCCCAAAGAGACAAGGCAATGACCAGAACCAGACGTGATACAGATGTTAGAGAATTTAAAATAATTTTGAGTCATACGTTACAGGTTCTAATGGGAAAGGGGAAGAACACATAGTATCAGATAGAAATTACCGTCAAGAGATGGAAACTATAAAAAAAAGTAAAATTAAAATTCTACAAATGAAAACAGATGAAAGGATATGAAAACTGTCAAATCCCAAATTCTATGGCCACTGAAAATAGTTTCTAAAGATAAAAGAGAAAAGCAAACTTTCCCAGAAAAACCCAAACCGAGAGAATTTGTTGCCAACAGACCTATTTGACGATAAACATTAAAGGAAGAAACGAAGAGCTCTAGGAATGGAATGAATGAGAACGAAATTTTTTTTTAACTTGATTACTTTATTTCGTCTATGAGTGAGACACGCGCACACAGTCAGGCATGCCCGACAGTGTCCTGACCCTGCAGTCTTTCCCCAGCCTCAGCCAGCCCTGATCACAGTAACGCATGTGCCCAGCCTACCCCAGATGCAAGCCTAGAACCTTCCATGCAGGTCAGCCTCACAGGGTACTGCATTCTACTTCTGTGCCACTACCGGACCCTGGAATTATTCCTTTTCTTACTGTATTTACTTTCAAAGATAAGCGCTATGGCAAAACTAGTAATGATATATAGTGGTGATTAACTTATGTAAAGACAAAAGGTCTGACAGAATGAGAGAGAGACTGTGAATACACTGTAGTAGCCTTTACACTACATGTAAATCATGTAAAATTTTGAGAAGGCAGACAACTAAAATCTTACAAAAAATGTTTTTTTTTTTTTAATTTGCCAGAGGATGTGTGTGATCACCAGAGAGAGAGACAGAGAAAGAGATAGGAAGAAAGTACCCCCAAGTGGCATGATAACACCACAATCCCTATTCATCTAATTCTCTATCTGTCAGGATTTTAGGCATGCATGCACAAACACCCCACATTTTTCAAGCCAGTGGGTCTGGGACTCCAAATGCTTGCTCAGTCGTGTGAGATCCTTAACCTCTAGGAAAAAGGGCTAGCCCATCAGCTGAAATCTTTGTAAGGACATAAATAAGTCAATAGAGGAGATAAAATAGAATCATAAAAATGCTTAATTAGGGGCCAGTAGGTGATGTCATGGTTAAGGTGCTGGACTTCCACATGGTCAACAGGTCAACAGTGGTTTGAGCCCTACACTTGGTGGCATGAAAATCACATAGGGTGTGTGTGTACATGTGCCCCAAATCCTGAGGAGAATGGAGGAGAAGGGATTGAGGCATGGCCATCCCCTCTGGGGGGTGTTTCTCACTTTCCCTCTCTGTCCCTTTTCAGTGAGCACATGCACCTTATTGCAAAAGCAAAAGCAAAAAACAAAAACAAAAACAAAAACAAAAACCTCAATTAATGCTAGAAAAAAACATAGAAAGTAAAAAACTGAAACAAACAAACAGTGAAACAAATAGTAAACATTTGGAGAAAGATGTACTATAAATTATATTTCTACTATATATACCACCAATAAACGACTGGAACTCAAAATTTAAAATACAATACTATTTATAATAGTCCCAAAAGAATGAAAAATTTAGGTATTAAAAAAAACACATACAGGATCTGTATGTTGAAAACTACAACGTACCGGTTAAAAAATCAAAGTCAAGAAATAAATGGAGTGACATGCGACACTCACAGATTAGCATCAACATTAAGATACTACTTCCCTCCTATTTGATCTGTAGATGCCATTCAAGTTCATAAAATATCTCACAAGCGTTTTACAGATATCAGCAAAATGATTCTGAAGTTATTATGAAAAAGAAAAGAAACAGTAGCCAAAACAATATTGAAAAAGGCAAGGAAGACCCACATCAAGACTGATATTGGCAGAAGGACAGACATACATGATCAAAAGAGAACCCAAAGATAAAAAACACAGAGAGACAGCAATTCCATATGGAGATAGTCTTTTTAAAAATTTAAAAAGTGTTCTAGGGTGTGTCTGCTCACCAGAGAAGGGGGTGCAGGGGGAGAAGGAAAGTGACACAGCGTCTCCCATGGGAGATGGTCACACCACGATCTCCTCTCCTCCACCACTCCTTCGAGGATTTCGGACGTGCATGAACATGTGCCTGGGCATGTTCCCCAAGCTGCCATGTCCAGGATTCGAGCCACACAGCTGCCCATGTGGGATCCAGCCGCCGTAACCACCATGCAATGGGCAGGCTCGGACAGGCTTTTCAATAAATGGTGCTGAAACAGATGGACACCCGCACGCCATAAAATGAATACGGACACCTGCCTGATACTTCACAAAAGCAGTAACAGAAAACAGGTATAGATCTAAATATAAAATATAAAACTCTAAAAGAAAACTACAACATCTGTGTGACTTAAGATAGACACATTTCTTTCATATAAGATCAAAAGCACACTCAACAAAAAAACAAAACTGAGGGACCAGCAGTTGGCATAATGGCTATGTCGCTGGACTCCTATGCAGTTGACTGTGGTTGGAGTCCCGGACCAGGTGGGTTAGAACTCAGCTGGGTGCATGTGCGCCTAAGATCCCAAGAGGAGAATGGACAAGAAGGGATCATGGCGTGGCCATCCTTTGGGGGGGAGGGGTGATTTCTCACTTTCCGTCTCTCTAACTCTCTGTCTTTCTAGCAAGCACATGAACCCTACAGCAAAAATCTCTCAAAAAAATACAAAGTAAAAATGGATAAATTGGGCTTTATTAATCTTTAAAAAGTGCTCTTTGCTGCAAAGGACACCGTAAAAAAGAACAAAAAGACAAGTAATAGGCTGGGAGAAAATTTCTGCAAATCACATTTCTGATAAAGGGAATATATGAAGCGCATATAAAGAAATATCAGAACTCGACGGCAAGAATATAAACAACCCAACTGAAAAACAAAACAAAGCAAAAATGGGTGGTTTCTGAAGAGACACTGCACGGAAAAAGACAGTGAAAGGCAAATAGCACAGCACATGAAAAAATGCCCAATATAATC